CGCCCTGCCCCACTCCCCGCCCCGCTCCCCCTCCCCCTGCTCTGCTCTCTGCTCCTGTGCGTCGCCCTGCCTCCTCCGCGTCGACCTCCCCCCCTCCCCCGCCCTCCGCCCTTCCCGGGCCACTCCAGCTGCTCACCTTCCGCGCCTGCCTGCTCCTCCCCCCCGCGCCCCTCTCCCCCGCGCCCACGTCCCTCCCAGGCAGCCCGGCGTTGGGGGAAGGCAGGGGGCGCGGGGACCTGCCTGCAGCGCGGGGGGAGCGCAGCCCCTCGCTGGGCGACCTGAGCCCGTCGGTGGGCGACTTGGAGCGCGCCCTGGGCGACCGCGGCGCCTCCCTAGGCGACCTGGGCCGCGCCTGCGACCATACCTGCCCGCCCCGCGCGCCCCTTCCTGCTCTGCTTCCCCCACCCCCCTCCCCCAGCCCCCCCCGCTCCTCTGGCTCTGACCCAGCCTTGCGCAGCACCCTCCCCCCTCCGCCTGCGCTCCTCAGCGTCCCGCGGGGCGACTGTTCGCGGAAGGACCGCGTGCGCGCGGCAGGGCGCGCGGTGGAGGCAGCAGCGGCGCTAGACCCGCCCGCGCGGCTGGCGCTGGCGGCGCTGGGGGGGTTGGAGGAGCCCTCCTGCATGGACTTGCACCGCCACGCACCGTCCTTCACCGCTCTCGTCCTGGGCGACCGCGGCGAGCGAGCAGGCGCCTGGCGCGCGCGTGGCTGCCGCGCGCCCCGCGCAGCGAGGGGGGAGAGCGCGCGCTCCGGCCTGGGCGACTTCGGGGGGCGGCTCGGGGCGGCGACGGGGCCGTCGTCAATCAGGGGGATGTCCTCCCCGCCCTCCGCGCCGTATTGCTCGCCGCACTCCACGCTTCTCTCCCCCGTGTCGTGCGCCTCCGGAGGCTCCGCGCAGGAGCCGTCCGCGGCGTGGTCGGCGCGCGCGTCAACAAGGTACGCCTCGAGCGACGGGCTCAAGGGGAGCCCCGCCAGCTGCTGCGCGTGGTGCAGCGCGGAGGGAAGGCTGTCGCTGGGCGGGGGAGGGGTGCTGTGGGGGGTGTGGTACTCCTCGCCCTCGCTGCCACTGCTGCCTGTCCCCGACTGCCCGCCAGCGCGGGTGTCTGCGCGGGTGCCTGCGCGGGTGTCTGCGCGGGTGTCTGCGCGGGTGTCTGCGCGGGTGTCTGCGCGGGTGCCTGCGCCTGCTCGAGGCGACACGGCCTTTGGAGACGACGTGGCACGGGGCGATCGCGCTGAGGGCGACAGGCGCCGGGGCGAGTGGGCGCGCGGAGAAGACGCGTCGAGGGGCCTGGCAGCTGGGGGTGCAGCGCGCAGTCGCGGTTCAGCGTGGGGAGGGGGCGAGGGGAACGGCGCTCGCTGCTCCCCCTGCCCCTTCTGCTCCGTCTGCTCCCATCCCTCGTGACCCCCCGTATCCCCAGCCGCCATCTCGTCCGCACCTTCGCTGCTATCCGTTGCATCTTCACCGTTCATCGCCCCAGGCCCCACCCATGTTACCCTGCTCTCCTCCGCTCCATCAATCCCCCTCTCCCTCCCCTTTCGCCCCCGGGGCGACTGTTGGCCCATTCCGCCGCGCGCACGGCCGCTCTCCGGCCCCCCTTCCTCGTTGCCCATGGTGGCGGCTGCACTAGGGGGTGGCTGTATAGCGCGCGCATCTGAAAATCCTCTTCTCTCTACAATCACAGGCCGGGGCGACAGTCGCTTGTACTTGCCTTGCGCCTTCTGCCCTCGTCCCGCCGCCGCCGCGCCTGTTTCTTCCCCTGCCCTCGTTTCCGTCTCACCAGTACCCATCTCCCCCTGCCCCGCCGTTGCAGCCTCACTGTCCCCTCTTACGCCTTGCCCCGCTCCATCCTCTGCTTCCGCACTCGCTGTCTCTGCGCCCTCTTCCGCCGCTTTTCCCCCTCCCTCCGCACCCATCGCCCCGCCTTCCCTGCAAGCTACCGATTCGGCGCGCTTATCCTCCCCGCCTCTCGCGCCAGAACCCACTGCCGCCTGGACGCACGCCACCGTGTCGCACCCGACTCCTCCAGTGCCGCCCTTCCCCGCTTCTTCCCCCATACAGTCACTCTCCCAACAGTCACTGTCCATCTCCTCCGCAATCGCCGCGGCGGCAGCGGCGGCGGCGCTGGCGGCCTCTTTCGCGGCGGCAGCAGCCGCCTCTGCGGCCATCGCGGCGGCTTGCGCGGCCTTTGCCGCCGCCGCCGCCGCTTCCACCGCCGCAGCCGGCACGCGCCGCCGGCCCTTCCGCCCCTGCGCGGATTCCCGCCCTTCGTCGGGGGAAGAAGCCGCGGGGGCCATGGTATGGCCGCATTTGGGACAAAGCGCGGCTGCGGTCTTTGGTTGCGCTGACGCATGGCCGAGAGCGACGGGACAAGACGAGGGCGAGAATTCAACCGTGGGTGGGTCAGCAGCGAGGGCAGCAGCTGTCCCATTTCGAGTCGGTATCGCAAGCACGGGATGCGCTTGTACCAGTAGCTGCTGCTGCAGCTGCTGTTGCGGCTTGGCGCGCTGCACGGCGAGAGAGATTGCCCTGCGAATGGTTGGAATGAACCCGCCTTCTGGTGGCGATATTGGCGAAGGCGACCACGCTGGCGACGCCGAAGATGCCGGTGAACCCGGTAACTCAAGTTCGACTGGCGCTACCCTAACCGGAGCCACCGAGCCTAGAGAGGGGGTTTGGCCATCGGTAGAGAAAGGGTTGGCGAATTGCGGACTAAAAGAGGCGGGGGCGACGGTGACTGATCCGACTGCTACCGCGTTCGGGGAAAACGCTGGTACCCCTGCGTTGCTGGTCCTACCGCTGATGCCACTAGCGCCGCTCACGCCACTAGCGCTGCTTCCGCTACTGCCGCTGAAGCTGATCCCGCTGCCGTAGCTGCTGTCTCTTGCGTGGCTGCTGGTGATGCTGCCACGTCGACTCAGCGTGGTCGCGGCCAGGAGGTGCGGCAGATGTGCCTGCAGCCCCCCCAACTGGTTACTACCTCCCCGCCGGTGTCCCCCCGGCGAAACCGTCGCTTGCGCTGTTTCGCCGTTAGCATTTTGCTGCTGCGGCAGCTGCGGAGAGTTCAAGGGCAGTCCTTCCGCAAGCGCGCGCGGGTCATCGGGGTCGACCTTTACAGTCGCGGGCTGCGCGTTCGACGGTGGTTCCAAGAAATCGAGTCGTTCTTTCTGCATCATGTTCCTAATGCGCGCCGCGTGTTCGCTCGTCCTCTCCTTCAAGCTTCCCGAGAATGAGGACGAATCGTAGCGCTGCGAAGGCGACGCCAGGAGAGTCGCTCGCGTCGCTTGGTGAGTCGGCCCGATGGCCTGAGAGCGGGTTCGGCCAAGCGGCCGCCGGGACGCCTCGTCGCCCCGAAGGTATCCGTTGGTCCTGTCGCCGACAGCTTCTGGCATTGCCGCGTCTACGGCCGTTTGCTCCCCCGCCGCATCTTTCCGCCGTGTTGCGCCAGCGCCATCCACCGCGGCTCCGTCGTTGCCGCAGATTTCTAGCAAAGGCGGGAGTTGTGACAGCGGCGAGTGCGGTGGGGGAACGAACAGGGTGGGCGACGCCCAAGCTTGGTTCGCATCCCGCAAATGCGAGGTTGCTGTCGCGAGCGACACGCTCCTACGATGGAAGGCAGCCCGCGCGTTGTCCGGATCGAACGGCAGGTCGGAATCGCGCGAGATAGTTGTCATCATCTCGTTAACCAGGCAGCCTCCCTCTGAAACTGAAGCTGTTGCAATCTAACCTTACACAGCCAGCATCTCCTGGAACTAGCTCCTAAAGCGCAATGGATGTGGACGAAGAAACTGTGCTGCAGCGAGGATGCCTTGGGCTTGGACGATTTTTTTTTTTTTTTTTTGGGCTTTAAGGAGATCCCCGGAGGAAACCAGCCCCCCGTAGGGAGAAGGCGCTTCGGGACGACGTGGGCGCGGGGGAGGGAAGAGGAAACAGTGCCATTTCTGCTGGACTGGACGAGATGGGGCTGCGCCTGCGCTGCTGGCTGGACTTACAGCGTGCGATCTCGAAGGTGGGGAGGGGGGCAGTGGGCAAACGACTGGCGGGGCAGGTGTTTTCCGTTTCGCCCAGTGTTGCGTAGTGCAGCGGGCTTTTTGTAGAAAATACAGTCACATTCGATCGTCTGTGTAGTTTTTCGTGGCGCGTCGCTCCAACCACTGCTGAAGGGAATGTGAGGGGACGTGTCAGGCTGGGAGGGACGGGGGAGAGGAGTTGGGGGGGAGGCGGAAACAGAGGGGGCAGGTCATCAATGTCGCGCAAAGAATGGTCAACGTACGGCGCACATTCCCACAGTTGTGGAGATCGCGGGGAGAGGGGGGAAGGGGGGCCGACGATTTCGACAGCAATGCAGCCAGTCCAACGCGGAAGGCTCAGCCAGCAAAACGTGACCCACCCAGTTGGAGAGCTTGTCGTCATGCGAATAATTTACGCTGCATGAAAAGAACAGCACGAAACAAGCAGCACGAGTTGCGATAAATGCAGAGGTGGTCAAATGTCGTGTTCGCTGCACTCAGTTTAACATCAGTTACGAAAAGTTCTATTCACTATATGTTTGGGTTTGCATGTTTCAGTTTCCAACCGCTCACAGCTTATAGCGCGGACCTCAAGTGTAACTATTACGGCGGCACGCAGAGAACCTGGCTCCTTGCGACCTGGTAGTGATTAGAGCTGCCGCGTGATGCGCGCAGCATAGGGCCGCCATAGCTGTGACGTTCCCTATCCACACGCGATGGGGACATCAGGGTTTGAGAAACATGAAAGAAGATTGAGTCAGGTCCTGCTTGTGGTTTCGGTGCTGATCGCAGCAGCATGGGACGCGGGGATTCAGGTAAGGTTGTCACTCTGTGCTTCCTGACGTGGTCCTCCTTTCGCCAAATATCGCCATTGAATGTTTGGACTTTCGTCCGCTTTCGGGTCGACTCACTGTTTGACGAGTTGAAGTGAATCGCGCTTCGCGATCGTTGGTGGCAGGTGCACGCGGCGCGCAGCGGCAATCTCAAGGACGAGATGTTCGCGATGTTCGACGCCAAGGACGAGGGCCAGCTGTCCGACGATGATTTGCTGCTGCAATGTACGGTGTTGTCACGCTCCTTGCTTTCACCACCCTCGTTCCTCCGTTGACCTCTTCACAGTGTTATCTTGCTGTGCCCAGCCGCATCCACCTTGCGTGGACAAGGATGGTGCTCCTCATTCCCTCTATCCCTCCCCCAACGCTTATGTGCTTCCTATCCCTGCTGCGCACATTCCCTTGCCTATCACCCCTCTTTCAGCGAAGCTCCCTTGCCTCACTCCCATCGCCCGTCGTCCCAGCTCTTCACCCTCCCTCATTCCTGCTAACAAGTCTCCCTCTTTCCGTCTTCCGTATCTCTGTCTTCCCTGCTCCTCCTTGTGCCCATCCCCCCCTGCTCATCCCTGCTGCTTCCCCCTCCTCCCGCTCGCTCCGCCCTGTCAACGCGCGTGACGATGCGCGCCTGCAGCGTGGGACGACCTGAAGCGGCCCAGCAAGTTCTATAACGGGTACAACGAGGTGGACCACTACGTCAAGCAAGGTGCGTGCGGCGTGCCCCACCCTTGAGCTTTGAGCCGTTGCAAATCGTGTGTTTGGGCATTGCCGGATTGGCTGGTGGCATCATGTGAGATCAGATCAGATCAGATTAAATCAGATCAGATCAGATCAGATCATATGTTATCAGCAGGGCACATCTCCCTGCAGCAGCACCACCCTGCAGATTCCATGACTGTGTCCCCCTCAGCCCTCTCTACCCTCGCTGTCCTCACTCTTGCTCCAACCGCTGTGTGACTGTATTGGGTGGTGCAATGGGGGCGGGTGGCAGGCAACCTGGCGGAGTACCTGGGGCTGAAGGCAGTGCGCGCCATCCACGTGCCCATCCCCGTCAACCTCATCTTCATCGGCTTCAATGCCTCCGGCGACCACGGTGGGTCGCGGGCACGGTGGGTGGCAATGACTGCAGGTTGCAATCTATGGACTGCACCCCCATGCAACCCCACGCACCCGCATGCAACCCCATGCACCCGCATGCACTCCCTCACTCCATGCTCACTTGTGCACACTTGTGCGCCCACCCACATGCTCAGTGACCACGTGCATCAACTCACCCACCACACACCCACCCACCCACCCACCCACCCACCCGATTGCCCACCGACGCACGTGTCCTGTGGTGGGCGAGCAGGCATGCGCGTGCGCAAGGGCGCCATCCACCCACCTGCCCACGTGCATCAACTCACCCTCGAGGCACCCACCCACCCGTGTGCACGCAGGCATGCGCATGAGGGAGGGCGACATGAGGCGCTGGCTGCAGCGCATGGACCACGTGGAGGAGCACACGCGCGCGCCCCTCAACTGGCCCTCCCTCCTCGCCCGCCTCGCTCACACCATGGGGGCGGGCGGCGAGCTGGTGCGCAGTGATGATGATGACGACGACGACGAGGAGGAGGAGGGGGAGGGGGAGGGGGAGGGGTTAGAGCATGACCTCCCGCTAATCAGCAGCGTGCACTACAAGTGAGCTGCTCCCTGTGTTTCATTGTTTCTCTCTGTGTTTCATTGTTGCTCCCTGTGTTTCATTGCTGCTCCCTGTGTTTCATTGTTGCTCCCTGTGCTTCATTGTTGCTCCCTGTGTTTCATTGTTGCTCCCTGTGTTTCATTGTTGCTCCCTCGCTCCACTCCACCATACCTGTTTGAGTGACCTTGTCTTTTCGTTCAAGCATGGTTGGTGGGAGTCTCACTCTGCTCTGACCACCTGCCATGAATCATGCCTGGGAATGAGTTTCGCTGCTGTGCAACCCTGCTCCCTCCCTGCCATTCCCCATCCTCCCTGTGCTGCGTCTCACATGTGTGCCGCGCCGTGCATGCATACCCCATCTTGCCCCGTGCAGCTACACGGTGCATGTGATGGAGATGGGCGAGCGCGTGGCGTCCGTCTTCCAAGCAGCAGTGCGCACACTCTCCCGCCCCGACGACCCCACCGCTGCTGCTGCCTCCCACGACGACGACGACGACCCCGCCGACTCGCCCCCGCACCCCCACCACCCCTCCTCCTCATCATCATCCGGGGCGGGCGGCGCGGGGCAGCAGCAGTGGTACCAGGTGGACATGGGCGCCATGGCGCATGTGGTGGACAGCCTGGTGGACTCGCTGCAGCTCGATGCCTCCGCCTACAACGTGATTGTGCTCAACCTCAACCGCGCTCGCGCTCGCAGGCGATATGGCTACAGGTGAGGCCACGGCGTGGGATGGCATGGCATGGATGGTTCGGCATGGATGGTACGGCATGGATGGCACGGCATGGATGGTACGGCATGGATGGTACGGCATGGATGGTACGGCATGGATGGTACGGCATGGATGGTACGGCATGGATGGTATGGCATGGATGGTACGGCATGGATGGTACGGCATGGATGGTACGGCATGGATGGTACGGCATGGATGGTACAGCATGGATGGTACGGCATGGATGGTACGGCATGGATGGTACGGCATGGATGGTACGGCATGGATGGTACGGCATGGATGGTACGGCATGGGGGTCATGGCTCTCCTTTGTCCTCCTCATCCTGTTGTCCTGAACCGACCTTTCACCCGTTCCCCCGTGCCACCCTTCGCGCCCCTACCCCCTAACAACACCTTGTGCAGGCTGGGTCTGTCCAATGCAGAGTTCAACATGCTCAAGACGGTATTCCCCATGCTCCATGCCCCATGCCCCATGCCCCATGCTCCATGCTCCATGCCCCATGCCCCATGCCCCATGCTCCATGCTCCATGCCCCATGCCCCATGCTCCATGCTCCATGCCCCATGCTCCATGCCCCATGCTCCATGCTCCATGCCCCATGCTCCATGCTCCATGTCTCATGCCCCATGCTCCATGCTCCATGCCCCATGCCCCATGCTCCATGCCCCATGCCCCATGCTCCATGCCCCATGCCCCATGCCCCATGCCCCATGCACCATGCACCATGCACCATGCCCAATGCACCATGTACCATCAATCAGCATGCATTGCAACCCCCACTGCATCGCCCATATTTTTCTTTCCAGTCCCCGCCTCTCTGCGCACTGCCCCTCCCACATCCCCCTGTGCCTGCCCTTTCCAACCCACCCCGTGCACTCCCGCCGCCCCCCCTCGCTGCCTCCCCACGCCCCTGCTTCCCTGGGGGCAGGACGACCGGCTGAGGCAGCACCTGCTGTCGCCAGGGCTGGAGAAGGTGCCGCAGGTGCTGGGTGAGTGGCACTGGCATGTGTTCGTTAAAGGTCCTGCTGGGTGAGTGGTCTGTACTCGTTATAAGGTGCTGGCTGCCATGGTTTTATCTTCGACTGAGTGCTGATTGACTGCACCTGCACGCTATTCAAGCTGCTGCTTCCACAAGTCGCGTTCTGAAACGCCGCTTCAGCAAGATTTTTCTCTCCCATTCCACCTCTTTCCCTTCTCCTCCCACCTCTCTCCCCCCTCGTCCTCCACCAGACGAGCAGCACGTGCCGCAGCCACTCTTCTCCTCGCGTCCGGGTCACAAGCTCGCGTGGCGCCACATTGAGCCGCATGAAATCGTGAGCCGCATTCCCGGGCCTTGCAGTGAGGTCGCTGCTGCTGGGGCGCAGAGTGTTGTGGCATGCGGTGCTGCACTGCTGCCCATGTACATGCAATGCAATGCAATGCACGAACCTGTTTGATGTTGACAGCATAAGGATGCAACGTGGCCACAGTGAATCTTGCACTGCCTTAGCTGCATTTCTTTTTCCTTGGTTTTTCTTTTGCTTCCAACACCCCTCTGCCTCTTCTGCCTTATGTTTTCCCCCTCTCGCCCGTTCCCCACGGTGCATGTGTGCAGGTGCCATGGGCGGCGCGGATGACAGCGCTGCTGGGCACAGTGGAGCGAGTGGTGAGCGAGCGCGGAGACCCGCGTGCCAGCGCCGCCCGCAAGGCACAGCAGCTGCTCACCTCGGGGGACCCCCGCCGCGCCCGCGCCCTGCGCGCCGCCCTGCAAGAGGCCGATGCCAGCTGGCAGGAGCAGTGCCTGACTGACACGTGGATTGGCACCCGCAGGTGGGGCGGAGGGGAGACGGGTGGAGAGGCGGGGGATGGGAGGGGGGATGGTGGATGGGATGTGGTGAGAGTGGAAGGGACTGAGGTGGGAGGATGGGAAGCAAAGGATTAGATGGGAGGGTGGATGGATGAGGGTGTTGGATGGAAGCAGAGGCGGGGTGATTGTGTGCGTCATTCCTTACTTCCCCATCCCTGCCCCCCACCCTCACCCCCCTGCAACACCCCCGTCCTCACCACCAGGTGGGCGCTCATGGACCTGTCTGCTGGCCCCTTCTCCTGGGGGCCCCTCTCCCCCGCCCCCCACCGCCCCGCTGCTGCCGCTGCCACCCCCACTGCACCTCTCAACACTGCTGCTGCTGCGGCTGTTGGTGGTGCTGCTGCGGCTGTTGGTGGTGCTGCTGGTGGGGCAGGAGGGAACGGCAGCAGCAGCAGTGTCATGGGGGATGGGTGGAGCAGCAGCAGCGTGGTAGCGGTGGATGTGGGGGCGGGTGGCAGTGCAGCATGGGGAGTGAGGTCGGAGGCCAGCCTACCCTCCATAGACCGCTACTTCCATGCCCTCTCGCATGCTTCCTCAGGTGGGTGCCCTGGGCTGGGGTGGGCTGGGGTGGGGTGGGGTGGGGTGGGGTGGGCGCGCAGAGGCTGCCGCTGGTAAGGGTGACCCGCAAGTGCAGGTGTGCCTGTCTGCCGTCCTGCCTCTCTGCAACCCCCCCAGTCCACCCCATCCTCCTGTACGCCTCCTCACCTCGTGCACACCAACTCTCTCTGTCTCACATCACACCACTCACATCTCCGCTCGGGTCGTGGTTGCTGCCCCATGGCAATGTGAGTCACCCCCCCCCCCCCCCACGTGTGTGCGGCGAGCAGAGGCGTGGGAGGGCGAGCTGAGGGGGCGCCTGGAGCGCATGGCAGAGGAGCGGCTGGAGGCGGTGGAGGAGGGCGAGGGCGAGGGCGAGGGCGAGGGGCAGCACGCGGTGGACGTGCTGCTGGCGGAGCTTGACGTCTACCACACCTTCGCCGCCCGCCACTGCACTCACCGCGCCGTCCCCAGCGCTCTCTGCCGCGGTGGGTGGGTGGGTGCAAGGGGTGGTTGGGTGCAAGGGGTGGTTGGGTGCAAGGGGTGGGTGGGTGGGTGCAAGGGGTGGGTGGGTGCAAGGGGTGGTTGGGTGCAAGGGGTGGTTGGGTGCAAGGGGTGGTTGGGTGCAAGGGGTGGTTGGGTGCAAGGGGTGGTTGGGTGCAAGGGGTGGGTGGGTGGGTGCAAGGGGTGGGTGGGTGCAAGGGGTGGGTGGGTGGGTGCAAGGGGTGGGTGGGTGGGTGCAAGGGGTGGGTGGGTGGGTGCAAGGGGTGGGTGGGTGGGTGCAAGGGGTGGGTGGGTGGGTGCAAGGGGTGGGTGGGTGGGTGCAAGGGGTGGTTGGTCCTGCTTTCGTGCACGCATTGCATGATGCTTGCTTCAATGGGGGGGGATGGTTTGGGCTGGCTGGTGCATGTTGGCTGCATGCAAGAAATGCACCGCCACGCTGCCAGAGCACACCAAGAGCACTGCACGCCTCTTGCTCCCTCTCCCCCAATGTGCACGTGCGTGTGTTGCGCGCAGAGCTGCAGCAGAAGCTGGAGGAGGTGAAGGACGACCTCGCCAAGCACCAGGGCGGCAGCGCCACGGCCGGCAGCGTCTTCACGGGGCGCAGCGTGCGGGCGGCACTGGAGCGCCTGCACAGCTGGAAGTTCCAGAGTGTGCCGCCCGACAGGCATGCGGGCAAGGGCGGGGCGGGGGAGAGCAGCCCTGCAGTGACGCGCGCGTGGGACATGCTCATGGCTGAGCTGGCGGCCACGCTGGCATCCGCCATGCGCCACGTCATCACGCCGTCCACAGCTGCTGGCGCGTACCACTTCTACGAGCGCGTGTCCTTCCACCTCTACATCATCTCCCACCAGGTGGGGGCGCGCTTAGGGTGACGTGGCATGGTGTGGCAAGGCGTGGCATGGCTGACGTGGCTTGGCATGGCATCAGGTGAAGAGATAGCGATGGCAAGCCTGCATGGGTGCACATCACATCACAACTGCGACCTCATGCATTCCCACCCCTGCATGCCCAACCCTTCTTCCCTCCCGCATGCCCCTCTGCCAGGCGTACTACGAGAGGCGCCACACACCACAGTACGTGGAGGAGTTCAAGGCGGAGGTGCAGAAGCTGTGCCTGCCGGGCCAGCGCTTCCACTTCTCCACCTACCGGTGCGTCAGTGCACGTGGGGCGGGGTGTGAAGGCCAGGCTGCTGCTCATCTCCACTCGTATTACCTCCTGCTTCCTTTGCCTGGGCTTCCTGACATGCCGCTCACATGTCACCACACCCACTGCCACCACCCACCTGTCCCACTCGCCCCAACCTCCCCTCACCACCCTATCCTTCCCCCACCTTCCACCCCGCTCCCTCTGCCGGCCAGGCTGTCAGTGGCGGAGGACGCGGCCCTGGCGACGGCCTTCTCCGCCTCCATCCACTTCACCCCTTCCTTACTCGCCCCTACCTTTCCTCACCATCCCCCCGCCTCCCACCTCCCCTCGTCCCCCTGTTCCCCCCCCAGGCTGTCTGTGGCGGAGGACGCGGCCCTGGCGACGGCCTTCTCCGCCTCGCTGCGCGCCGCCGTGCTGCCCTCCGCGGCCGCGGGTGGCAAGGCGTCAGCGGGGGGGCGCGTGCAGCTGTACCTGGACTCGCACGTGCTGCAGCACCAGCTGCGCTCGCTGGGGGACGACAGCCTGCAGCGATGTGAGGTGGCAGAGATGGGAGACGAGATGTGCTGGGACTCGCTGCGGGGCCTCATTGCATGACGCCACACCACCTCCTCCTCGCCTCCTCATCCCTCTTCTCTCCTCTTCACACCGCTCGATTCCCTCTCTCCTCTTTTCTCACCTCCTTCCTTGCTTCTCCTCTCCCCAGTCGCATGCACTCGGCATCTCTTTTTCCTCTGCCTCCCCCATCCCCTTTTCCACCCCTCAGCACGCCTCACATCCTTGCGCACCTCTCTGACATCCATTCCGCGTGCACCTCTCTGACATCCATTCCGCGTGCACCTCTCTGACATCCATTCCGCGTGCACCTCTCTGACATCCATTCCGCGTGCACCGCTACACGCTCTGTGCCTCTCGTCCCTCCATCCACCCGTGTGCAGTGAAGCGCAGTCGGGGGGAGCGCGCGCAGCTGGACGTGCCGGTGTTCTTCTTTGCCATCACGTCAGACCCCATCCTTATCGACCAATCGCTGCTCGCCAAGTCACTTCCTGACATGGTGCTCTCAGTGCAGCTGCCGCACCGCCACTGGCCCACCGGCGTCACCTGCAACGGCAAAGAGATGCACGCCGACCTGCGGTGGGTGTGACATGCACGCGTGCTTGCTCTGTGTGACCACCCTATGGGTTTGGGTTTGGGGTGACCCTGGGTCTGGGCTGTCTTGTGTTATGCTGCCGTGTGCAGATGTACCAGCCAGCCTGCGCTGCCACCATCACGCCATGCCACCAGTTCCCTCCCCCTTTTTAGCATTCTCATACCTCGTTTCCCCTATTCCTCATTCCCAAATCTCACTCTTTCCTGCTCCTTCTCCCCCCTGCCCTCCTCCCCACCCAGCGACCCCCTGGCGGCAGTGCTAGCGGCCACAATGGAGCACCTGGCGGGGCTACTGCCAGCTCACATTTCCTTCTCCGCCGCCCACTCCTTTGTCGTTCAGGTCATTCCCTTGCTGCCTCTCATGTGATTCTTGTGATGCCTCTCAGGTGATTCTTGTGATGCCTCTCAGGTGATTCTTGTACTGCCTCTCAGGTGATTCTTGTACTGCCTCTCAGGTGATTCTTGTACTGCCTCTCAGGTGAATTTGTGGTGGCTTTCATGAATTGTTTGCTGAATGTTTGGTGGTGATTCCCTCAGGTACCTTGTTCTGTTTCACGAGAGCTCATCATTTCTACCCTGACCTCCCTACCTCACCCTACCACAATCCACCACCTCTCAACCGCACTGCACCCATGCAGGACTGGCGGTGGGCGGCGGGGGGGCATCCCTTGGCGGCCATCGGAGGGGGCCTGCTGGGAGGAGGAGGGGCGAGCAGCGCTCATGTGTCATCACTGCAACAGGACGCCATGGCGCGGTCGTTCGTGGTGACGGCGCTGGACGAGGCTGTTGCCACTGTCAACCGTGCCATTGCACACCTCGCTGCTGAGACCACCCGTGAGTTCCCCCTCGCCTGCCTGTGTACCTACCTGTCTGCTGGGATGTATGTGCGCTGTGCTACAACTTGTTGGGTGCTGGGTGTGCCGAGTGTTGTGCTGCTCAAGGCACCATGGTTGTTTGTGCTGCTGCTGCGTGGAGTGATACGCCGTTTGCTGTCGTCGTTCTTCCATGCAGTCACCACGCCTCATCTGCACTTTTCGGTTCTCATCGTTGCTACAGTCATGGCTACGGTGTTACAGCATGACCCACCCCCTCTCCCCCCTTCCCTTTCCACTCCATCCAATCAGACGAGGACACGTATGCGGTGTTCAAGCGGTGGGAGCGGCAGCTAGCGGGGCAGTACAACGCGGTGGTGGAGGGGTGGCGGCGGGTGGCGGCAGCGGTGGAGGCCATGGACTATGGGGGCGCGCTGCACCTGCTGCCAGGGATTGAGGCCGCTGCTGCAAGGTATGGTGCTGGGGTGATGGGGCTGTGATGGGAGGCGAGGGGCTTGGCGTGTGCGGTGTGTTATGTGCGTGCTGCTGCTCCCGCTCCCCTTGCCTGCTCCCACCTCCTCGCCCTGGGCCTGGATCATCGTTACCGTACCCGTTTTCTCACCTGTAACCCCACCACACTCTGCCACACCACCCCCCATGGCACCCCACCTCACACACGCAGGTGGGAGGGGGAGGTGCGGGAGGTGGTGGCGCTGCTGCACCCGGCTCGCTGCACCAAGCAGCGGCGCCTGCAGGTGGGGCGAGGAGGGCTGCTGCCGCTGCTCTGCTGCCTCTCCGTGCTGTTGCTGCTGCTGCTCTGTGTGCTGCTGCGCAAGAGGAAGATCAAACCCAAGGTCAACTAGAGGCATGGATTAACTGGGAGGATTCATCTAAATGGGTGTGCTGCGTCGCGCCACTTTCTTCATCTATAACACACAGTAACAATTCTGAAGGCTCGGTTGAGGGCATTGACAACATGGTTGGGGTTTCAGAGTACCGTAGAAGGGAAGGTGGGGATTCTGGAATGTCTATCATGTAATGTAACTTCTCTCAAGCTGTATGTACCGTATGTCACAGCATCGTGCACAACCTACCGTATTGTTGATTTCATGGACAAGCATTGAGACTAAAGCATCAGTTGACCTACAACACCAATTTGTACAGCTAGAGGCAGTATGCTTTGAAGCAACTGCCGTTGCAAACAAACCAGGAAGAATCACTTTCCCACCATTATTGAACTTACATAGCACGGGCAGCAAGCCATACAGCTGGATGGGCGCAGTGCAACACTACGCCGTCAGCCTAGAGCCAACGGCAGCCTCTGGTGGAGTGGAGTGTGTGAGGGCTGCTTGCACTACAGGCTGCCTTCCCCCCCTGCCCTCCCTGCTGCAGCATGCAGCATGCAACTCAGCACATAAAAAGAGACGCCCAGCAAGGGTGTCACCTCACAGCAGGTCCCTGGCGGGCGCGTGTGTGCCTCACTTTCACAGCAGCGCACAGCAGGTCACAGCACCTTGCGGACCTGCACGCTTTGCCTGGCCCCCACGGCCTCCTGCCCACCCGCCACATCAGAGACGGCGATGATGAGATCGCCCTCCGCCACCAGGCCCCTCGCCTGGGGGGGTGGGGAACGGGTTGGGGCGGGGGGGACGCGAGGGGTTGTACAAGAGGGGTGGGGGAGTGGCTGAGAGAGGGAAGCAGCATGGTGCTGTGAGAGGGAAGTGGCGTGGTGCTGTGAGAGGGAGAGGCGAAGAGTGGCAGAGAGCAGGGAGGAGGGGAGGGAAGTGCAAGGCAGAGAGGGAGGTGGAGTGGAAGGACCGTAGAGTGCTGGACTCAATCCCTGCAACCCGTTTGGCACAGCAGATTCAGACCTGCAGTGTGAAGGCAGGGTCATCCCGTGGATCATGTACACCTCACGCTCGTACACCTCACGCTCGTACACCTCACGCTCGTACACCTCATGCTCGTACACCTCACGCTCGTACACCTCACGCTCCCACACCTCACGCTCCCACACCTCACGCTCCCACACCTCACGCTCCCACACCCCACCACCTGCCCTGCCCCGCTGCCCCACCCACCTTGAGCACGGCGAAGGCGCGCCGCATGTTGCCCTCGGCGTCGTCTGAGAGGTCGAGGCGGAATGGCACGAGGCCCCAGTACACACTCATGTGCTGCCTCACCGCCTGGTGTGAGGGGCAGGAGGGGTTGAGCAGGACAGGGCCGGGGAGGGTGAGCGGGAAGGTGAACGCGATGAGCCCAGGAGGGGAACGAGGCAGGTGGACGTTGGTTAGAGCACATTGCAAGGCATCTATACAAGATACGTTGCAACAGAGGTAGGGAGTACCTGGGAGGGCGTGACGGCAAAGATGGGGCAGTTGGGGCGGCAGCGCGAGAGCAACGACGCCATGTAGCCCCTCTGGGTGAAGGCGATTATTGCTTTTGCCCCCAGACGCATGGCTGCACAGAGTGGGCACGGGGAGGGGGGAGAATGGCGAGAGGAGGCGAACACAGGGAGAGAATGGGAAGGTATGGAGGTAGTGTGGGGTACATGTGCAGTTGAGTGTATCCCTGAGATGACGAGTCATGCACCCTCCCCTCCACGCTGCCATCACCAACCACCCCCTGCGCTCGGCGCCACACAGGCAGTCGGGCCACACAGGCAGTGGGGCCACACAGGCAGTGGGGCCACACGCACCCATCTGGGCAGCGGCTGCGCAGATCTGTTCGGACATGCGGTCCCGCAGCGAGTGCGACAGCTCCGGCAGCAGCGCCACGCGCTCCACCGCCGTGCGCCCGTCCGTGGCCGCCGCACCGGGGCCCCCCTCGTATCCGCCCTGCCCCTCCTCGATGGCCTCAAAGCGCTCTGCAACGGTGCGCAGCACGTCGAGGGCTTTAAGAGGGAACTGCCCCATGGCCGACTCCCCCGACAGCATCAGCGCGTCCGCCTGCTGATGCACCGCCTCCGCCGTGTCCGCCACCTGCAAGGGGGGGGGGGTGGGGGGAGGGGATGGGAAGGCGGAGGGAGGAGAGCGGATGGGGGAGAGGAAGGGAGGAGAACGAAGTTAGCCGGTGAGGGGAGCATGGAGATGTATTCCCTTCCAACAATGCCAAGACTCTCATCTTGAGCTGCCAGTGAGCACCATTCAGGTGCCAAATCAGCCATGCCTTCAAGACACAAAGACGCAAGTTGCTTCAAAGTACAAATGCGGCTGCATGCGTGCACGCGCGCAGCGCTTGGGGGGGCGCACCTCAGCGCGGGTGGGGATGGGGAACTCGATCATACCTCAGCGCGGGTGGGGATGGGGAACTCGATCATACCTCAGCGCGGGTGGGGATGGGGAACTCGATCATACCTCAGCGCGGGTGGGGATGGGGAACTCGATCATACCTCAGCGCGGGTGGGGATGGGGAACTCCATCATACCTCAGCGCGGGTGGGGATGGGGAACTCGATCATACCTCAGCGCGGGTGGGGATGGGGAACTCGATCATACCTCAGCGCGGGTGGGGATGGGGAACTCGATCATACCTCAGCGCGGGTGGGGATGGGGAACTCGATCATACCTCAGCGCGGGTGGGGATGGGGAACTCGATCATACCTCAGCGCGGGTGGGGATGGGGAACTCGATCATACCTCAGCGCGGGTGGGGATGGGGAACTCGATCATGGACTCGAGGAGATGCGACGCCACAATGACGGGCTTGTTGAGGGCGCGGCAGAGGTCCACCATGTCCTGCTGCACGCCCGGCACGTCCTCCAGCGGCACCTGCGCGCCCAGGTCGCCCCGCGCCACCATCGCCCCGTCCGACGCCGCTATGATCTCCTCCAGCCGCCCCACCGCCTCCACACTCTCTATCTTGGCTATCAACGCTATGGGGCTGGGGGAAGACAGGGGGACGGCGGAGGGGAGTGGGGGAGGGGCGTGTGGTGATGGGGGAGGAGGTAACGAGCCATGTGCTGTGAACTTATGGTGGCAGGTACCCAGGAGGAAGGCGGCGCACAGGTGGATGAGAGAGGGGCGGGTGAATGAGTGTGATGCGAGGGAGTCGAGACAGCTGCACCCACCTGCACCACACCCACCACACGGCACGCACCGGGAGGGAGAGCGCGCGTTTACGTAGCTGCGGAGGTGCGTGACGACCTCAGGTGAGCGCACGAAGGAGATGGCTATGAAGTCCACCCCCTCCGCTATTCCAAAGTCTATGTCTATCCAGTCCTGCCACAGGGGGAGGGACGGATGGCGAGGGGGGGATGGAATGGAAGGACAGAATGCAGCAGCGATGGGCGTGAGAGGCAGGGATGATGCATGGTCGGATTATCAAGTCATGGTGCAGGGTGGTGCATGGCTGTCCACGGCAGGGCATGGTGGTGCATGGTGGTGCATGGTGGTGCAGAGTGGCACAAGGGGCTGACCTTGGAGGAGATGGTGGGCAGCATGGCGTTGGTGGCGCGCACGAGGTGGCCATTGCGGAAGATGGTGAGGTTGGCGCGTGGCAGCAGCAGCCCCGGGTCCAGCACGCTGCACACCACGTCGGGCCCCATGCGCGCCGCCACCTGCAGCCGCGCCATGCCCCCGTCCACCACCACCTCGTCGCCCTCCCTCACGTCTGATGGCGGGGAGACGGGGGAGGGGGAGGGCGGAAGCGATGGGTATTGGGACAATGGGGTGGTGGGAGCGCGGAGCAGAGAAAGCAGAGAAGGTGGAGGAAGTAAAGGAAGGTGTCCACACAATAGCAGCGGCCCCACGACGTCAGCAAGGCAACAGTTGAGCGCATGAGCAGGGGAGCACGCACCGTCAATGAAGCCGTCATAGTTGACGTGCACGGTGTTGGGCGGCAGCGCCATGCCGTCAGGGAACTTGCGCACCGTGAACGTCCACACGTCGCCCTCCTGGTGGGGGGACGGGGGGCGAAGGATAGAAGGGACGCGGGCACAGTGGGAGCAGTGAGAGGAGGAGGTGATGTGTGCGAGAGCCGTAGATGCCGCAGGCTGGGACTGTTGACCTGTTGACCTGTGAGCGGACCTGCCCTCCAGCCCCACAACTGCCCCTCTTATTCCCAACCGCGCGTCCACGTTACGCTACGCCACGGCACGGCAAGCATGGGGGAGGGACTGACCGCGACTTTAGCGGAGGGCGCGCCCTGGAGGTCGCTCATGTGGATCTCGCTGCCCTCCGTGTCCATCATCACCGCCACGCTGTACCCGCGCTCCGCGTTCAGCCGCCGGATGTCCGCCATCACCTGCCTGCGCGCATGGGAGGTGGGGAGGGGGGGGCACGCGGCAGCAAGGGCATGGATGGTTATGGGATGGTGGACGAGGAACCGACGACGGACTCGATGACATGCGGGTGCTGCTGCTGGCTGCAGAGCATGGCGGCAGGGCGAGAAAGGCAGTTGCAAGGAGACAAGGGCCACGCCCCCCTGCGGCACGGATCACGCCACCGCGTCAGCGAGTCCTGCCCATGCCATCGGCCATGGACTACCGATGCCACTCAGCCCTCGCCAATGCCATGGCTCCTACCGGTGCCACGCGTGCGTGCCGTGGCACATGTTGATGCGCGCCACGTTCATGCCGCCCTCCGCCAGCGCCGCGATCTGCTCGAAGCCGCAGCACGCCGGCCCGATGGTGCACACCAGCTTCGTGCGCCGCGTGCTGCGCCACCCGTTGCCCGCCAGATCCGCCGCCAGCTGCGCTGACTGATCGGCGGCCTGCGCATAAGGGCGAGATTGCGCACGAAGCAGCGGCGAGGGGGAGGGGAGAGTGGAATAAGCGAGGGCCACTGGCGTGTACTTGACGACTCGAGCCGAGTTCCTGGGCAAGCGCTTGGAGTCCATCACGCGCCGAATTCTTGGTCGGCAACCATTCGAACACGAGATAGGGTCGATTACGGGCGGAATTAGCATCAAAGAAGGCAGCGAAGGCGAGAACCTGAGATCAAGGTATGGCGCTGAGCATGTTACCAATCGCCTCGCGATGTGGCACGAATGTTCGTGATTTTGTTCTTATGGTGACTACAGGCGTGCCGACTATCGATCATTTCCCACTCGCACCTGAGGCAGATCCCCGCCCAGTTGATCGTTGCTCTGCCCATCCTCTCTTCTTGCCACGTCAGCAACAGCACATCGGGCTGCCCCACGTGATTGCACGATGCGCCTTGTGACATCTCGCGGGCGCGGGAGGAACGGCAAGGCTCTGAGTCCAGTTCGCGGCGAGGCGGTGGACACTCTGACCAGGGCCGCGGGCGCATGCGCGAAGAGGGGGGTGATTGTGGCAGTCACCATTGCAACAGCAGCGCTTGCGCAGTTGGAAGGCTGACCAGATCCGATGGGGTCTCGAAAATAGAAAATGGCTTTGAAGCGAGGGCGGAAGAATGGGAGGAGACAGACGACTGGATGCTGCTCGATGGAGTTTGAACTTCAACCCGATGACAGACGTTACATAGCTAACCACGTCGTAACTGAAGTCTGTGAATTCCCTAGGTTTCGAGGTCGGTGTCTCATATATGACACGCGAACCAATTGCGCTGCAACCTTCCTTTGCCAAAGCGGTGTATGTTGCGGTGGGCTAGTCAGGACGCGGCACCCCTAGCACCGATCCTGCGATCGATCCTGCGCAGGATCGAATGTTTTAGGAGTTCAAAATGGTATCGAAAGATTTCAATGTTTTCAAAAGAAATTCAGCACGGTTGAATCAGCGAACCTGCGATCGATCGTGCAAAATTGCTTGAGGTGCCGCGTCCTCAGACGACACAGACGTTTCGCCAGCCCAGGTTCGTGACGGCCTGGACATGGATTCTTGGGGGCTGGGCAGGCATGCTCGAACCGTCTTAAGGACCGGTATAATTCCCGATTGCTTAATTTAGAAACTCTGAACCGCGCCCTTAAACATGGAAGGTAGAATGCCGAGAAGTGGGTGCATATGCGTAGCGGTGGAGGTTGTTCCGCTATGGCGGAACCCCAAAGGAGAACGACTGCAACGCATGATTCTGCTGACGATGCTGCGCCGCAAATGATTCAAGCTGCGGTTTCCATTCGCGATGCGAGTCATCAACATTCGATGGCGAATCCCAAGTGCTGCTCCAGCGAGGAAAGCGCTGTGATTGACGTGGAATGACAGTCACGGAAATTCTTATCCGAAGCAGTTGCCCCCGTACGTCTCATCTGTACTGTACTGTAATTCTCGTACATGTTTATCACCTTGAGGATCACGTCGATTTTCAAACGAAGGAACTAATAAAGAGGATGACAGGGCAGCTGGTTTGGTTCATGCCCGCCTGCATCGAGATGAGCAGAGCTGGAGCATGTATTCCCTCCCTAGCTATCCCTCTGGGCCCTGCCAAAACCTCCCCAAACCGTCTCCGACCCAACCCCTCCTAAATCGATCACTCAAACTACACCCACTTCCTTGTGAAACCCACCCAGAATCCAAGATCAACCACACTCGATTGTGAAACCCCATGACAACACGCTTCACATTCACGTCTCCCCGCCCAGCTTTCCTACGACCTACACGTTGTCTTCCTGCACGAGACACTTCTTATTCCGGTTGATGCACTTTCTCACGAGTCGGCCAAGCACCTTTTGGTCCCACCCGTTGATAAAGTCGCTGTGGTACTCAAAAGGGCTGCCCGTGCCGCCGCTCTGAATGGTGGAGAGGTAGACAGCGGGGTTGCCCTTGACGCCGTTCTTGGGCCACGTGAGGTCGAGGTCCGTGTCGACGGGGTAGTACACCTTGATGCTGATGCGCGGCAGCGGCACGGGGTGCGACGACGGGCACGTGGTGTTTAGCGGGATGTGCACCACGTGGCTGCGGTGATCCGCGCTGTCGATGTTCTTGCCGTCCCAGCACACGGGGAAGTTGATCTTGCCAATCAGCTGGTCGCCCGCAGGACACTTCTGGTGCGGAAAGTCGTTACCGTGCTTGCCGCGCGCGCCGCACCACCATTCCACGTTCGCCATGTCGTCAGCTTGTTTCTGTGACGAGAAAATGATGGGAAATTGGGGACGGTATGCAGGGGAAATGATCACCAAGGACTCTCTATGAAATGACAAAATTGCTTAATCAAGAAACTGCGAATGTTATTTGAAGGACGAAAAGGGAGAGGGGAACATACAGATCCTGCGAATGGGTTGCCTGTGAGCATCCGGAAGCCCCGCGGGAAGGGCATGATGGTTTCCGGGTTCTTGACAGACGTGCGGTAGTAGAAGAGCGTCCAGTTGGGCTTTAACTGCAGCACGGAGGTGGAAAGGGAGGGGAGGAAGAAAAAAAAATGACCCACGCGAACATGAACGAAGAGCGAAGGGTATCGAGAACATAACGTTTCCGTTTGGTTTCCGCCTTGTTTTGGTTTTTTTTTTCTGCTCCTCCTTTAGCATATGGCAAAATTTCCTGACGTGCGCCCCCAAGCGTGTGAACTAGTCAGCGTGGCATGACTCACGTGCTTGTAGATGTACTGGCCCTTGGCGTCCTTCTGGTTGGTGCGCATGAACATGGACGGGAACCAGTACGCTGCTGAGTCCGCCTTCAGCCCGCACGTTGTCTTGCTGCCCACCAACGCCCTGGCTGTCGCATGGCACGATGGGAGGAAAGAAACAGTCAAGAGGGGTTTGATGAGGGAGGAAATTAGAAACCAGCACGCGCTCGTGTTGAGTGGTGGAGGAAGCCTTGTGATCCCAGCAAGCTTTGGCATTTGCAGTACTGACCATCAGTGGTGTCGGCTTTGGTGATGGTGCTGCCGAGGAAGTCGTGCAGGTGAGACTTGCCGGGCTGCCCAGGGAAGACGATGGGGTCATCCCGCAGAGCGTGGCTGAAGTTGCAGCGAATGCGGAACTGCGCGCGAGGCACGCGCTCTGGCCTCAGCAGGAGGTCCGCCGTGGTCGTGTGAAGGAGGGACGCGCTGGCTACGGTCAGCAATATGACCGCCAGTCGGAGGAGCGAAGCCATTACTAGTACTAGCAGTCACGGTGAAGAAAGTGAACCGCACTCACGTGAAAAAACCGAAATTGAAACAGACGAGAACGTCAGCCAGCAGTTGCTCTGCTGGGCACCGAATAAATGTGGGAAAAAGTTAGATGGCAGTGGTTGTGGAGGACGTGCAGAATAAATAGTGAGAGAGAGAGCCAATCCAACTTTGGCTACCCTTTGCGCGTTGCCGTCAATGCACCACCGAACGTGACGCATGCACAGAAGGACCGCTTTGCTTTTGTAAGCACATGTCATCACGACCTTCGGAGGGGTGCTCGGCTGAAGCGAACCATTTGTTGCGCGACATTTACCTAATCGTCGCCCCTTCTTGATGGTGATTGTCGCAGCAGCCCCTGTTTTGACTAGAATTGTACCTCACGGCCTGCAGGTCTGCAAATTCCGAATGTCGCAGGCGTCGCATATGAGATCGACTATCGCATATCTCGAGGCGCAATTGTGTTGGATTTGCGCTTGCTGTTGAGACCGAAACGCAAAAGCATGCCTTCTTGGTACAGTGTAGGACGGTGTCTCTGTGATCGCCATCGATGGAAGGTACGGATTTACTGCAATCTTGTGAGCCGTCGATATGTACGGTTAGACTGTCTTGACACTTACCGAACGAACCTAATAGCTTCGGCAACCTTGACCTCAAGTAGCCATGCGAGCGGGAGCGCAACTGTGGAGCTAGGCGCACCTCCCAGATAAGCGGACTGCGTGGATAAGCACAGCTGTAGAATCCAAATCAGTACAATGTAGGTAGCTAAACTATGTTGCTTACTAGGTTTACTTCTACATCTCATACAACACCTACTTTCGAAATGACTGGCTTAGGCTGAAGACCTCATCGTCGGAGGCTACCTCCCATGCCCAAACCTGTGCCTACACTCGAACATGCGAGATCCCTCCCGTAACTAGGTTCTCTCGAGGAAGATCTTTCCTACTCCTCTTACGCCTCCTCTCACTCTTCTCATTCGCCCCCTCACCCCTCATACATCAAGTCAACCAGGGAAAATCCCTCTTCCCCTTACCCTCATTTCTCCACCTTCGTGCACTCTCTCACTCTCAACCAGTCCCTCTCTCTCTAGTCCTCCTACACCGCCTCCTTTTCCTCCTCCCTCACCCCCACTCTCATGGCACAAAGGCTTTGTCCTTGTCATATATCTGAATCCTTACCCATTCTCTTATTTGCAGCAGAAACATCAGCAGGTTATGTTTTTTCACGTGTTTCACCAGGTGCCTCTCATGAGGAGAGCTCCCATCTAGTAGAATTGACTACTATGGGGGAAGTGTCAAAATGAGGAATGATGATGCCATTGATGTTGGTTGGGGTACATATAACAAACCCTAACTTCTGTACCCCCTAAGACAAACCTCACTACAGGCTACAACATTTGACACACCCCCATAGCCTAAGTGAGGGGTGTCTAGCAAAATAAAAAAAGAGTACGGTCACAAGACCAGTCCAAAAGAAAACAAAGCTCAGGGTGGATCACAACGTCACCACACTCTCTGAGCACAAGCAACAGTGGCCACAAGGCCAGTCCAAGAGATCACAAGTATATATAGCAAGAGTACAGACGAAGCAGGCAATAAAATCAAGCCTACACATGACTAGAACCTGTGTCAACAAGGCCTAACTGCACACAACACCTCTGGTGGTCACGAGGCGGAAGCGCCTTGGTGAAGATGTCTGCAGTGTTGGCCTCGGACTCCACAAACTCGAAGCGAGCCTGTCCACGTCTCTGCAACTCTCGTAGAAGAAAGTACCTGACGTGAATGTGCTTCACTCTGCTCTCCAGTCGCGGCTCACGACAGAGGAGGATCGACGCCTTGTTGTCAGTGAACAAGGTCGGTGCAGAGCTCGGCCGCTCACCAAGGTCGGCGAGCAAGAAGGTCAACCAACGCAACTCCTGTGCCGCCATGGCACCAGCGTAAATCTCAGCCTCAGCTGTAGAGGTCGAGACAGAAGAGGAGCGCGTGGAACGCCAAGAAACAGCTCCAGAACCCAGACTGAAACAGTACCCCTGAGTAGACCTGTGAGTCTCAGCGTCGTCAACGTAAGAGGAGTCACAGTGACCAGTGAGTACGACAGACTGCTGCCCTCCAAGAACTAGCCCTACGCCTGATGTAGTCGCTAGGTACTTCGCCACCCTCACAGCTGCCGTCCAGTGAACAGGACGGTGTCTCCCTGGCGCAACAAAGCGCGCAAGGATGCTGAGAGGGAAGGCGAGGTCCGGGCGAGTACAAGTCATCAGGTACATGAGGCAACCCACAAGCTCTGCGTAGGGACCACTAGGCTCAAACGGCTCGTCAGGAAAGGGACGAGTGAGTCTGTGGTCAACAGCGAGAGGTGTGCGCTGTACGGTGGAGTGCTGAAGCCCGAACCGCTGAAGGACCTGCTGCACCATGTGTGACTGTGAGAGTGTAATGGTGCGAGCGGCTCTGTCCCTGGTGATCTGCAGGCCAAGGTAGTGGCGCAGCTCACCAAGATCAGTGCACGTGTGTCTCTTCTGCAGTTCGGACTTCACGTCTGCCAAAGCAACCCTGTCCGGAGTGGCGAAAACGAGGTCGTCGACGTAAACCAGAACAAAGAACGGTGTGGAGCCACGACGAACAAACAGCGACGGGTCGGCAGAAGACGGCTGGAACCCAAGGTCAGAGAGGGTAGAACGCAGAGTGTCGTGCCACTCACGAGGGGCCTGGCGAAGACCGTAAACAGGTCGCCTCAGCCTCCACTGGGTCCCAGGAGGGAAGGTGCCAGTGAAGGCCGAGGGACGACGCAACCAGACCTCCTCGTGTAGGCTGCCCTGAAGGAAAGCAGTGGAGAAGTCGAGAGAGTGTAACTCGTAGTCTCTCTGTGCTGCTACGTGTAGTAACACCCGAAGAGTGGTCATCTTCGGGGTAGGTGCGAAGGTCTGAAAGAAGTCAACTCCCTCGCGCTGACTGAAACCTCTAGCCACGTAGCGCGCCTTGAAGACCGGGGGAGATCCGGGTGGCCGCTTCACCCTGTAGATCCACATGCCGTCGACTACGTTCGCCCCAGGGGGGGGAACCTCATCGACGTAGGTGCCTGTGGATCTGTAGGAGGCCATCTCTGCGTCCATGGCAGCTCTCCACTGAGAGGCCCAAGGCCCTGACACTGCCTCAGCGTAAGTGCGAGGAGTCGGAATGTCAAGGGCGTCGGGGTCACCCTCAGGGGCGAGGAGCATGGCACAGAGATGAGGGAAAGCGGCCGCCAGGAACTCTAGCTCAAACTGCCTGTCCTCTAGGGCGTCACAGCCAAGGGCAGACACACCCCCGACGGCCAGAGGACTGGTAGGAGGAGCAGCCACAAGCGTGGTGACGTAGTCAAGGCGGCGGGTAGAGGCAAAGTCAGTAACTGCGGCAGTAAGAGCGGACACAGAGGACACAGAGGCACGAGGGTGAGTAACAAGAGAGGCGAGAACACGAGAGAGAACAGGACGGTACGTGCGGTAGTAGTCAGTGACAGGAGTAGGGAGCGACACAGTGAGGGCCGACTCAGGAGGAGACGGAAGCACAGACTGAGACGGACGAGGTGGACTAGAAAGAAGGAAGGCAGTACGAAGGTCAGTGAAGGGAACAGGAGACGAGGGACGAGCACGAGGGGAGCGACGAGTAGCCCAAGAACGAGACGGAGGAGGAGAGGACAAAGGCGGAGAACTGGGGAAAACAGCGGGGGAGGAGTCAGGAGGAGGAAACGTGGGACCGTAGACAGGAGGAGAGGCGGAGGAGGGAGGAGAAGGGGAGGGGAGACCAAGGGTTCGAAGACCCGAGACAGGAGGAGGAAGTGGCTGCTGCTGCTGCTGCTGCGACTGCTGCTGCTGCGGAAGCGGCTGCTGCTGGGACTGCTGCTCCTGCGGGTCCAGCTGCTGCTGGTGCTGCTGCTGCTCCTGCGGCTCCAGCTGCTGCTGCTGCTCCTCCAGCCGCTGTAACTCCCTCTCCTCTCTCTCCAACGCCAGCTGCTCGTCACGGGCACGGCGAACACGAGCCTGGTGCCTAGTCGGGTAGGGGTGGGGGGGCGGAGTAGTGTCCGAAGCAGCGGTAGCTCCAGAGTCCACCCCCGAAGAACCAGGCGCACCACCCCCAGAGGCAGCACTAACACCAGCTCCAGACCCAGGCTCACCAGAACCCGAAGGAGGCGCACTCTCACCCCCAGTGTCCGCGCGACCAGCACCAGCTCCCGGACGACAAGAGTCCTCTGCACCCACCGGGTCAGCTCCAACTCCAGAACCAGAAACTCCAGCTCCAACTCCAGCTCCAACCCCTGCACCCCTAGAACCAGAAACTCCAGTGCCAACTCCAGCTCCAACTCCAGCTCCAACTCCAGCTCCAACTCCACCACCCCCAGAACCAGAAACCGGTACAGGAACAGGCGCAGCACCAACCTCTCGAGAGCTAGCACCTGCGGCACGCTGCGAGGAGGACTGTGGGGAGGGAGGCTGTACCGGAGAGGCTACCGAAGGAGGAGGGGTAGCCTGGGACACACCTGACGGGGCTGGACCAGGGGGGGGAGGCTGTACCGGGGGAACAGGAGGGGGAGCGGCAGTCAGGAAGAGGGGGGGAGGAGGAACCTGGAGACCTCGACTGGGGTACCTGACGTAGTACGGAGTGGACTCCTCGAAACGGACGTCACGGGAGTCAAAGAACCGGTGAGAGGGAGGGTGGTAAAAGGTGAAGTCAGAGGAGTCCTCAGGGAAACCAAGGAAGACACAGGGGACGGCACGAGGCGAGAGCTTGTCCGCGGAGGTGTCGCGGACAAGAGCCAAGCACCCCCAGACACGAAACCGCGACGCAACATCAGGGGACCCTGTCCAAAGACTGGTCGGTGAAACCTCTGGTCGAGAGACACGTGGCCAGAGGTTCAGCTGGTGCGCGGCGTACCTGACCGCGTAGGGCCACAGAAAATGGGGGGCACAGGCGTGAGTCAGGGAGGTGCGGGCGATCTCCATGACCAGGCCTATGCGGCGCTCAGCAACCCCATTCTGTTGTGGGGACTCTGGAAGCGTCCAGGACTGACGAATGCCCTGCTCGCGACAGAATCCAGCGAGAATGCCGGAGCGAAACTCACCCCCACGGTCGGAGTGGAGGCAGCTGACACGACGACCACGAGTGTCCTCGGTGGTGAGCAACCACCTGATCAGCGTAGAAGTCACCTCAGACTTCTTCGCCAGAGGGAACACTGTGGTGTAGCGGGAGAAGTCGTCAACGACCACCAGAAAGTAGCGCTCACGCTCAGGGCCTAGACGAGGGGCGGGGCCCCAGACGTCCAAGTGAAGCGTCTCAAAAGGCTCGGTGGCCGGACGAAGGGAGGAGGAGTGAGGGGCGGCGCGCAGCCGACCCTCGACGCAGGGACCACACGGCGGCGCAAGCGAAGGCGGCAGCGACGGCAAGACACGTGGGAGGCCTAGGACAAGATGCTGACTAGACATAGCGCGCAGACGAGGAAGGGACGGGTGCCCCATCCGGTGGTGCCACAGAACGGTGGGGTGGGCAAGCGACCGGCAGGAGCACGACGCAGCGACTGGAACAGACGTAGGAACCTGACACGACACAGACACCTGGGGGGACGAAGCAACCTGGTGAGACGCGGGGACCCGAACGGGGGGGGGAACCGGGGGCAGTGGCAGTAGGGGCGGCTGCTGGTGCGACCGCTGGTGCAGCTGCTGCTGCTGCTGCGGCTGCGGCTGCTGCTGCTGCTGCTGAGGAATGATACCATGTCAAAATGAGGAATGATGATGCCATTGATGTTGGTTGGGGTACATATAACAAACCCTAAATTCTGTACCCCCTAAGACAAACCTCACTACAGGCTACAACATTTGACAGGAAGCACCTGTGATGCTTCTGTTGCTGCTTGGGGGGGAGCTAATCTTATTGAGTGCACCAATGCAACAGGTACACATTCATCCCAAACTCTACAATGGTGGGAGCTAGACTGTAGGGTAGGCACGAGTTGGTAGAGTGATCGTAGCTCTGTCTGTGTTCTCTAGGACTTGTGTTTTCAGAGGGCAAAACAACAAGAATTTCACTAAGGAAAAGTTGAGGATACAGAGTTCAGAATGAACAAGCAATGGCAAAGAATTGACTACATCACATGCAAGGTTTGCTAGTGCTCAGGCAGGTCGACTGCTAGCGTGACAGAGTTGTCGACCTGCCAACGTAGCAAGTCTGCGGCTTGCCAACGCAGCTTGTGTGCGGCTTGCCAACGCTGCAGAATGGCGGCATGCCAGCACTGCACTCACGCGGCTTGCCATCGCAGCATTCGCGCGGCTTGCCAACATTGCATCCGCATGTGATTGTAAGTGCATGTGCAAGCACCTACTTCGCAGGTGCTTGTAGACAGTTACGCACGATGTGCATTGTCCCACGCATTGCGCAGGTTGTCAGCCACATGCTGACGGTTGCACCTGATGAGCCACATCGACCACGTCGTAACTTGGTCAACCAGACGAAGTCCCTGACATCTCTGCAGGATGATGACCTTCGTCATCACCGGTTGACGACCTTCGTCGTCGCGGGTCAACGACCTTCGTCGTCGGGGGTCGACGACCTTCGTCGAGCACCTTCGTTGAACACCTCGGTCAACATTTCAAAATGTCAGCCCCTGATTGGTCGAAATTAGGGCACATTCGAATTTCTGGCCAAAATTCGCCTGTGCAGTCTCAAGGGTGCGCAGGGTCAGACGCGACCCTGCGCAGACGAACATCCGCGAACTTCTGCACGAGCTGCGCCACTTGTACATGCGCACAAGAAGTCTGAGTTGCACTCACGGATGCTTCGATTACTCTTGCATGGATTCCCTAATACACCTCGTGTACAGGCAACCCTCGTACACCTGCAGACGGTCGGCTGCACCTCCCGCACACCCGACCATGAAGTCAGTTTTGCCCATGCGAGGGCGGGGCCAAATTCCTTCAACAACTCCCACTTCCAGCTCCTTCTCCTACTCCCCACACCCAATCACCACTCTGAATCCCCAACAAAATTCCGACCTCTCTATCGGTTACTCATCTCCCCTCATATTTTATCGTCTTCCATCTTCTTCCTCCTTTCCTCTTCTTTCCGTTCCCTTCTCCTCGCCCCCCGCCCCAAACCTCCCCCACCTTCCCCCCCGAATTCCCTACGCTATGCCGCATTCATTGCATGACAGTCCCATGTCTCACACTCATGTAAAAAATTATCCACACACCCAACTTCCAATTCAAACCTTGCCGGCCTAATGATGAACATCGTTCCCCTTCTTTCCTCTTCTCCCCAATTTTCCCCCTCCTTCTCCCCCTCTCCCCCTCCCTCTCCCCTCCCCCTCTCTCTCCCCTCCTCTTCACTCACACCAGGTCGCACAGCATATAGAAGGCCCAAACCTCACAATTACCTCTGTCATCATCCGCACACCCAACTCTTAACAAGAGAAAGGAATGAGTAAAATGAGAACGCACGAAGGAGGATTTGCAATCCTCTACCCTCGATAGGGCACCCCAACCTAACCTGCAATAGTACACATACAAATATAAATATGTACGTTGACACACCCCCTAGTTAGGGTAGGGGGTCGTGCCTAACAAGTGAGACACAAATCAGGGCAGCACCACTAGTCCAACCATTGAAGTAAGAGGCAACAAGGCCAATTAGCAACAGAACAACTCACTGCGGTACGTGGTCATGAGGCAGAAGCGCCTTAGTAAAGATATCAGCAGTGTTGGTCTTTGAGACCAAGCGTACTACGCGTGCCTGGTCACGCGGTTGTAACTCACGTAGCAGAATGTACCGTAGCTGGATATGCTTCGTTCTGCCCTCTGTCATTGGCTCTTGATGCAAGAGGACCATGACCATGTTATCAGCGAACAGGACGGGGGCAGAGCTAGGCAGCTCACCTAAGTCTGTGAGCAAGAGCGTTAGCCATTGGAGCTCATGAGGATACATAGCATAAGCGTAGATCTCCACCTCACGGCTGGACTATGCCACTGACGACGAGCGAGTGGGTCTTTACGAGACAGCTCCAGCGCCAAGGCAAAAACAGTAACCCTGAGAGGATTGAAGAGTCCCAATGACGTCTTCCCACAACGCAACTTGTGTCCTATGAGTGCAACTAGCTGTCGTCCACTGAGCACAAGCCCCATGTCTGATGCACAATCCATCTAGCGCAATACCCTCTTAGCAGTCGACCAATGCTCAGGTCGGTATATCCCATTCGCAAACAAGCAAGCAAGGTTGTTGTGAGGATATACGATGTTTGGCCAAGTGCAAGTTATCAAGTATATCAGACACCCTACCACCTCTACGTACTGATCACTGGGCTCAACCGTGCTTGTTAAAGACAGGGGCCGAGTGTCAGAACATTATAGCTTATGCTTTTGTGTAGGCTGTAGTGGGGTATCCCATAGGGGGTACAACCCAATTAGGGTTAGTACTTGTACCTACTTCACTCATACTTCATTCATTCTCGTTCTCACTTTCTCATGGTATCGAGCAGGTTCCCTCGTGGGAACTGTTCCTAGGGCCCACCGATCCTCTTTTTTTTCCTGCCCGGGGCACGTCCTGCCCCTGCCCGAAGCGCGCCTAGGGTCGCGCCCTTCTTAGCGGCCCATCGCGTCGCCCTAAGCGGCCCGTCGCGTCGCCCTTAGCGGCCCGTCACGCCGCCCTTACGGCCGCGTCGCGCAGCCCTAACGGCCGCGTCGCGCCGCACTTTCACAAGCGGCCCGTCGCCGCCCTTCTCCTGCGGCCCCCCGCCCTCAATTGCGGCCCCGCCGCCCTCAACTGCGACCCCGCCGCCCTCAACTGCTGCGGCCCCGCCGCCCTCAACTGCGGCCCCGCCGCCCTTCTCTGCGGCCCCGCCGCCCTCTGCTGCGGCCCCGCCGCTCTCACCTGCGGCCCCGCCGCTTTCAACTGCGGCCCCGCCGCCTCAACTGCTGCGGCCCCGCCGCCCTCAACTGCTGCGGCCCCGCCGCCCTCAACTGCGGCCCCACCGCCCTTCTCTGCGGCCCCGCCGCCCTCTGCTGCGGACCCGCCGCTCTCACCTGCGGCCCCGCCGCTTTCACCTGCGGCCCCGCCGCTCTCGTTGGCGGCCCCGCCGCTCTCACCTGCGGCCCCGCCGCTCTCACTGGCGCCCCCCCCCCCCCCGCTCTCACCTACGGCCCCGCCGCTCTCATCTGCGGCCCCGTCACCTGCTGCAGCGCTGCCCGCCACCCGGGCTTCCCGACCCGCCCCACCCAGCCGAGCAGCCGACCGCCGCGCCGCCCTGCAGCAGCACCGCCGAGCCGCCCGGGCAACCGAGCAGCCGGACAGCCGGCCGCCGAGCCGCCCAGCAGCCGAGCACCCGAGCCGCCCTGCAGCCGAGCCGCCCAGCAGCCGAGCCGCCCTGCAGCCGAGCCGCCCAGCAGTCGAGCCGCCGGACCGCCGAGCCGCGCTGCAGCCGAGCCGCCCAGCCGCCCAGAAGCCGAGCCGCCGATCTGCCGAGCCGCCCTACTGCCGAGCCGCCCGAGCTGCCCTGTCCGGTGAGCACAGTGCCTCTTTTGCTACACTGCCCTCACCCTACTATTGCACTGCTAGTCTACTGTGGTCATGGCTACCCCTAGTGTCCTCGCTTTTGACGCTGAGGGTCGAGCCATTGACTTTGACGTCTGGGTAGATGACCTGCAGCTGTTCTTACAGTGCGATAGGGCAGACGGTCTCTCTCTCTTTGACCTCACCTCTTGCGCCTCTCCTGCCCCTGCTGCTGATGCTGACGCCACTGTTTGCTCCCAGTGGGCCACGCGCGACGCTGCTGCACGTCTTGCTGTGCGTCGCCACCTCCCTACCTCCGAGCGTGCGCACTTTAGTCAGTACAAGAGTGCTCAGACCTTGTACGACGCTGTAGTTGCGCGCTACTCCTCCCCTGCCACTGCTGCACTGAGCCGTCTCATGCTACCGTACCTCTTCCCTGACCTTGCTGCCTTTCCCACAGTCGCTGACCTCATTACCCACCTCCGCACTAGTGACACTCGCTGCCATGCTGCGCTTCCTGCTGACTTCTGCGCCAAGAACCCCCCCCCCATGTACATCACTCTCTACTACATAGTCACTCGCCTCCCTGACTCCCTTCGCGTAGTCAGGGACCACTTTCTCTCGGTCTGTCCCACCACACTCAGTGTTGACCTCCTCGAGAAGTCCCTCCTAGCGGCCGAGAAGAGCATAGTCGCTGTAGGGGCCTCTCGTGGTGACCCGCGCACCCCCATCTTTGAGGGGTTCTCCCCCTCCCCCCTTCTGCCCTCTGTTGCCTCTGCTGCTACGGCCGACCTCCTTGGTCTTGAGTCGGTCGGTGCGGCGTCCGCCCCTAGCGGGAGACGCCGCTCTGGCAAGGGCAAGGGGGGCAAAGGCGTTGGAGGAGCGAGCGGGAGCGGTGGAGGTGGAGGCGGCGGGGGGAGTGGGGGTGGCGGTGGGAGTGGAGGTGGGGGAGGAGGGGTCGGTGGCGGCAGTGGAGGCGGAGGCGGCGGCTGCGGTGGTGGTGGGAGCGGAGGTGGCGGAGGTGGTGGCGGTGGAGGCGGCGGCGGAGGCGGCAGTGGTAGCGGAGGCGGCGGAGGCGGCGGAGGCGGCGGGGGTGGCGGTGGAGCTGGTCGCGGGTCTACACAGAGGAGTGGTTCCGGTGGTGGCCCGCGCCAACAGCAGCAGCGCGGTCGAGAGACCCTGTCCGCTTAGCAGCTCCGTGAGTGGTACACTATACGCCAGCGGGGTGGGGGTTTTGGTCCGTGCACCTACGTCCTGCGCACCGGCGACCGTGCGGGTGAGCAGTGTGGGGGTGCGCACCCCACCCAGCGCTGCTTTGGCCGCCTGACGGACGCGTGGCGTCGCCAGTTCCCGGAGGCCACAGAGATCCCTCGCTGGGGCGAGCTGTCTAGGGCGGGAGTTGCTATTAATGATCTTGATTTTGATGCTATTCTTTCTGCCATGTATGCTGTGTCTATTAGTGATGAGGGTGACTGTTACCGGTGTTTCCCGCCCGATTCGGGCATTGGGACTGCTGCTCTAGGTACTGGTGAGGCTGCTGCCCCAGGTGCTTGTGACGCTGCTGCTCTAGGTGCTAGTGCGTCTGCGTCCTCAGGTACTGGTGAGTCTGTTGAACAAGAATGAATGAACTAAGAGTGAAAATGAGTACAAGTATGAAAACCTAGGAATGTGTACCCCCTATAGGCTAACCCACTGTAGCCTAAACAACTACAACAACATATATAATGTTTGACACACCCCCATAGGCGAAGTGGGGGAGAACTAGGGGTCAGAAGACCAGTCAAGTAAAGCAAAACAAAGCAAGCTCAGGGTGGATCACAACGTCACCACACAATCCAAGCACAAGTGCAAGGCCACAAGGCCAGTTCACATGCAGGAGTAGAGATATATATATAAGACTAAACAAGCAAGAGCAGTGATATATATATGTAACAGTACAAAGAGGGTCAAGAGGAGAGCAAGTGAGGCAAGACAGACACAAGACCCAGCTGGGTACAGCACCGCTGATGATCACAAGGCGGAAGGGCCTTGGTGAAGACATCAGCAGTGTTGGCCTCAGAGGCCACGTACGCAAGTCGCAACTGACCACGCTGCTGTAGCTTACGAGCAAGGAAGTAGCGGAGAGCAATGTGCTTTGTTCTGTGCTCCACTCTCTGCTCCCGACACAAGGCCAGCATGGCCTTGTTGTCGACGTACAGGACTGGAGAAGAACGAGGCGGCTCTCCAAGGTCGGTCAGCAGGTAGGTGAGCCAGCGAAGCTCCTGAGCAGCCATGGCCCCTGCGTAGATCTCAGCCTCACAACTGGAGCCAAGAACAGAAGACGAGCGAGTAGCCCGCCACGAAACAGAGCCAGAACCAAGGCCGAAGGTGTAACCCTGTGACGACCGCTGCGTAGCCTGGTCGTCGGCCCAAGAAGCGTCTGCGTGCCCAGTGAGGACCACTGGACTCCGCCCTCCAAGCACTAGCCCCATGCCCGACGTACTGCACAAGTAGCGCAACACCCTCTTCGCTGCAGCCATGTGCTCTGGTCGGTGTCTCCCAGGAGCAACATAGCGTGCAAGAATGCTAAGAGGGTATGCAAGGTCAGGTCGTGTGCAGGTCATCAGGTACATGAGGCAGCCAACAAGCTCTGGGTACGGGCCACTCGACTCTACGGACTCATCCGAAGGCAGAGCTGAGAGCGAGTGGCGAGTAGACAGAGGAGTGGCCTGAGGCGAGGAGTACGTGAAGCCGAAGCGCTGAAGGACCTGCTGCACCATGTGTGACTGAGTCAGGGTAATGGTGCGGCGTGCTCTGTCCCGGGTGATCTGCAAGCCAAGGTAGCTGCGCAGTTCACCCAGGTCAGAGCACGTGTGTCTCTTCTGCAGCTCGGACTTCACGTAGGCGAGTCCAGCAGTGTCAGCTGTGGCAAAGACCAAGTCGTCGACGTACACAAGGATGTAGAACGGCGGCAGAGAGGTGTCGGTGCGTAGAAACAGCGACGGGTTGGCAGTAGACGGAGCAAACCCAAGAGCCGCAAGCGTAGTCCTCAGTGTGTCGTGCCACTCACGTGGCGCCTGGCGGAGACCGTAGACTGGACGCCGGAGACTCCACTGGGTACCAGGAGGGAAAGACCCAGTGAAGCCAGGTGGGCGGCGCAGCCAGATCTCCTCGTGCAGGCTGCCCTGCAGGAAAGCTGTGCTGAAGTCGAGAGAGTGCAGCTCGTAGTCCCGGTGAGCAGCAACGTGCAGCAGTACCCAAAGAGTGGTCATCTTCGGGGTGGGGGAGAAGGTCTGAAAGTAGTCAACTCCCTGTCGCTGACTGAAGCCACGAGCCACGTAACGCGCCTTGAAGACAGGTGGAGAACCCGGCGGCCGCTTCACCCTGAAGATCCACATGCCATTGACGATGTTCGCCCCAGGAGGGGGGACATCGTCAACGTAGGTGCCTGTGGACTTCTAGGAAGCCATCTCTGCATCCATAGCTGCCTGCCACTGAGAGGAGTAGGGACCCTCTATCGCCTCCGCGTAAGAGCGCGGAGTCGGGATGTCAAGTGCATCCGGGTCTCCCTCAGGGGTAAGCAGTACGGACACGAGATGAGGTGAAGCAGCTGCCAGACACTGGAACTCCTCCTGCCTGTCCTCAAGGACGTCCGTGCCAAGGGCACACTCACCCCCGACGGACGGAGGACAGACAGACTCAGACTCAGCGACAAGACTAGCAGCGTAGTCTAGGCGACAGCGAGCAGCAAAGTCGACGAGCTCAGTGACGAGAGCAGACGCAGCAGTAGACTCGAAAGAAGGGTCAGTGACAACAGTAGCAAGGAGACGCGTGATAGTAGGACTGGTAGCACGAAGAGAGTCCGACTCCGGGTCGGCGAGAGCAGGAAGAGAGGACGCAGGAGGAGAAGGCAAAGGGGCACGCAGAGGAGCAGTAGACGGACGTAGAGACATCCGGTGTGTGCCAGGGGCAGGAGGAGGACGCTGGCGCGAACTACGAGCACTAGCGCTAGTAGGACGGACAGGCGACGCAGGACGAGACGCAGACTCACGACGCTCAGTAAGACCGCCAGTAGGACCAGTGTAAGGAGAAGGAGCAGGTAGTGGGGAGGCCGGCTGCAACTGTAACTGTGACGGGACAGGCTGTGAACACGCTAAGGGAGGAGGACCAGGAGGAGGCGAGAGACCAAGAACCTGCTGAAGGAGCGGAACAAAGTACGGCTGAGGGCGCGCGGCGACTCCAGACACAGCAGGGACAGCACCTGTACCCCCAGCGGCAGTACCAGAACCACCAGCAGCTCCAACGCCCAGGTCCTCAGTACTAGCAGCACCAGCTCCGCACCACACTCACGCCGCTTGGTCGGCCTGTTGCAGTCTCCCTGGCTGACCCCTCTGGGGGTCCTGTCCTCTCTCACTTTTCCACTGTCCTCCCGTGTCCAGCTGCCCCCTCGGGCACCCTGTCTGGTCTGTACCTTCCCTCGTTCTCGACGAACTTGGTGAGTGGTGCGGACCTGCAGGATGCGGGGGTTCACCAGTTCACTCCTGCGAGTCAGCGGGTGACCCACTGCACGGACGCACGCACAGGCCGGCACCTGGCCACGTTCTCGCGTCGGCCGGGGTCGAGCCTCTACACACTGACCACTGAGTCTCCTCCTGTCCCTGCGTCCGGTCAGATAGCTGCGTCGGGTCAGGTGTTTGCTGCTGCGTCCCGGTCTGGCCCTGAGTCTGCCCCTTGTTCGTGTCGCCTCCTGTCTCACGAGACTCTCCTGTGGCACCACCGTCTTGGCCACCCCTCCTTGCCCCGTCTTCGGGGCATGGCTTCTCGTGTCCTTGTCTCTGGTCTTCCCCAGTCTCTCCCTCCTCTTCCTTCGGGACCAGGACCTTCCTGTGTCCCCTATGTCGAGGGGCGCCTCCGGGCTGCTCCTCACTCCTCCCAGTTTCCCCCGACAGAGGCTCCTCTGCAGACACTTCACATGGACGTGTGGGGCCCGGCCCCCGTCCGTGGGCAGGGTCACGAGCGCTACTTCCTGTTGGTGGTTGACGACTACTTGCGTTACACCACAGTCTTCCCCTTGCGCAGCAAGGGTGCTGTCACTGAGGTGCTGATCGACTGGATCCGCGAGGCTTGTCTCCACCTCAGGAGGAGCTTCGGCTCGGACTTTCCTGTTCTGCGTCTGCACTCTGACCGAGGTGGGGAATTCTCCTCTCGCCTTCTGCGAGACTACTGTCGTGCACGGAGGATCCGCCAGACCTTTACGCTTCCGGACTCTCCACACTAAAATGGGATTGCGGAGCGCCGCATTGGCATGGTCATGGATGTCGCTCTTACGTCCATGATGCATGCGGCTGCCCCCCATTTTCTGTGGCCGTTTGCGGTTCGGTAAGCGGCGCATCAGCTCAACCTTCAACCCAGGGTCTCTCGGCCCGCGATGTCCCCAGTCTTGCTGTGGACGGGGAAGGTCGGCGATGCATCTGCGTTCCGTGTCTGGGGATCTCGGGCATTTGTCCGCGACTTGTCTGCGGACAAGCTGTCCCCTCGTGCTGCTCCTTGCGTCTTCCTTGGCTTCCCCTCTGACGCGCCAGGGTGGCAGTTCTACCACCCCACCTCTCGTCGTGTTCTGTCCTCCCAGGACGTCACGTTTGATGAGTCGGTCCCCTACTACCGCCTCTTCCCCTACCGCACTCCATCCCTCCCCCCGCCACCGCTCTTCCTTGTGCCAGGTCCCCCCCCTGGTAGACCCCCTCCCCCCTCAGGCACCTGCCCCTTTAGGTGTGTCCCAGGTAGACGCAGTCGAGCTTGTCGAGGTTACTATTGACTCTAGTGCTGCTGAGGGTGCTGAGCCTTGGGGTGCTAACTCTGGGGGTGCTGAGCGTGTGGGTGCTACACCTGGGGGTGCTGAGCTTGAGGGTGCTACTACTGGGGGTGCTGAGTCTGGGGGTGCTGAGCCTGGGGGTGCTACGCCTGGGGGTGCTGAGCCTGGGGGTGCTGAGCCTGGGGGTGCTACGCGTGGAGGTATTGAGCCTAGGGGTGCGGAGCCGGAGGGAGCTGGGCCTGCTGGTGCTGTGCCTGGCGGTTCTCCGGGTGCTTTGTCGTGCCGAGAGCCACTGTTTCCACAGGAGTTGCGTGAGTGGTTTGCTCGGTGCTGGAGGCGAGGTGCTGGAGCTGGAGGTGCTGCGGGTACTAGAGTTTCTGTTGCTACTGAGGGAGCTGGTGCCACGGGTCTTGGAGGTGCTCGTACTGGGAGTACTGGAGCTGCTGGGCCTGCGGGTACTTCTACAGCTGGAGCTGCTTCGGGTGTTGGCGCAGAGGCTCCTGCTATCGGTCCTGGAGGCGGTCCTGCTGGGGGTACTACTGGTGCTGCTGGAGGTACTGGAGGTGGAGCTGCTACTGGTGCTGGTGCTGCCACTAGGGGTGCTGGTGCTGTCCCAGTTGTGTCTGGAGTCGCTGCGCTGCCTCGGTCATACTTTGTTCCGCTCCTTCCGCAGGTTCTTGGTCTCCCGTCTTCTACTGGTCCTCCTCCTCCTTTAGAGTGTCCACAGCCTGTCCCGTCGCAGTTACAGTTTCAGCCGGCCTCCCCACTACATGCTCCGTCTCCCTACACTGGTCCTACTGAAGGTCTTGTTGAGCGTCGTGAGCCTGCGTCT